GGGGGACGTCGGGGGGCGCGCGGTCGTTGAACGTGCGGAAAGAGTCGATGTCGAGCGACGCGGCGGAGGGCGCCGAGGCGCGGGCGACGACGACGACGACGTTCGACGACGGCGTCGTCCCGGGGAAAGGGGTCCTGGAGTGCGTGATGTCGAGCTCGAGGAGTGAGTTTTTGGATCAGAACGATGCGTTTGAATCGCGGGTGGTGACTTTAGATCGAGTGATGTTTTCGAACGCGCTGGCGAGGCGGAGGACGACGATTCGCGGACGATTCGCGCCGCTCGGCGCGGAGGGACGCGACGCGATTCCGGGTGGAACGGGAGGTGGGGGGGGGCGACGGAGCCATCGGCTCACCGGTTTCGGCGCGCGCGGGATGAATCTGATCGAACGGAGTCACTCGGACGTCATGGGCGCGGTGTCGATCGAGCGCGACGGCGCGTTCGCCGTGCACGCGGGCGTGTTCACGGGGAACCGGCAACCCGAGGATAACTTGGGGAAATTACTCGTGCAAGCGAGCGCGAAGAGCTCGACGTCGACGCGACACGTCAACGCCGCGCTTAACCTATCGCGGTGTCAGAGCGGGGAGACCGTGCTCGGCGCCGCCGTGACGTTCGCGAAGACGTTGAAGAAGACGACGCGCGCCGTCGTCGGCGACGTCTGGGCCCAACGGGCGGTGTCGCAACCAGACGGGCGGGAAGATCTCACCGAGTGGGGCGTCGCCGCCACGCTCCCACCCATCACGGGTGCTGGCGCGATAAAGAACGCGGGTTGGGGCTTCGTGATCGGGAAACCCGCGAACCGAGGCGGGGTTCAAGCCGAGGCGTACCTCCGACTCGGCTCGGACGGGATCGATCCCGGGGCGACCGTTCTCCCGGGTGTCATCGTGACCCAGGACGATCGCGGAAGTCGCGAGACCACGTTCGCGTGTCGCGGTGGGTGGAATTGGTGATCGCATCGTCGATCGTCGACTTTGGATATTACTATAATACTCGTTTTGCCCGTCATTTTCAATTTCACACGAAGACGTTTTTTTTGAGTCTCAACAAACAACCTTCACTCACTCCGCGGCGTACACCTTTGGCTCGAGCCAGTGCGGACGTTTGACTTCGGGTGAATTCGTGTCCAAGGGCGCCATCGCGTGCGTCTCGGCCTTGGCGTACGCCGCCGCCTTGACCTCGGCCTCGCGCTTCGCCGCGTCGCGCGCAGCCTCATCCTTTTGATTCGTCAAGACCAAATAGTGCGCGACCGAGTCGTATCCCATCGCGAGCGCTCTTCGATACATCGCCCCCGTCGGCGCGTATCCCTTCTTCGTGCGACAGAACGAACAATTACAAATGTCCAAGCACGACGGACACCTCCACGCGTCGCCCCGCGCGATTGCCTCTCGAATATTTTGTCCCTGACGCATCCACAGACAGTCTCCGCAATACACACCGCGCATCATCTCACACCCGGCACAGCGCGTTCGCAGTCCCTTCGTCTTCTGTCGACACTGATGACAACACTCCCCGTTCACGGGATCGTATATCCTTCGCCCCTTTTCGTCGTATCCATCGACGAATAACGTCCACGCGCGCTCCGGCGCCTTCGCGAGCGCCTCCACGTGACGTCGCTCGTACGTCTCCTCCGCGTACTCAATCTCCATCAACTCTCTCGCCCTCGCGAGGTCATCGACGGTAAAATTCTCCGGCGCTTCGCGTCTCTGTCTCCTCGACGTCCGCGTCGGCGCCCGCGTGGAATCACATGTATGCTTCAAAAATTCTCTCCGCCGCTTCACACCTCCCGTCTCCAACGCGCGCTTCGCTCGGACGACTCCGAGCTCGGCCATGCGCGCGCGATTCGCCTCTATCCGCGCCGCGCGCTCCGCCTCGTACGCGCTCATGCTCGCGCGCGCGGGCGACGCGACGACGAATGGCGCCATTTTCAAATCGTCGCGCGCATCGCGCTCTCACGCGCATCGCGTCGTCCCCGCGCGCGCGTCCGCGCCCGCGCCCGCGCGCGCGGGGCGACGCGCGCGCAAAATTTTAATCATCCCCTTCCCGCGTCGACGCCCATCGCGCGCGTCGTCGGCGGCGTCGACGCCGCGCCATCGCGCGCGCGGACGCCGTCGCCCCGTCGCCGTCGCGCGCCGGCGTCGTCCCGTCGCGTCCGCGCGTCCGCGCGTCGCGCGCGCCGACGCGCGCGGGGCGACGACGCGGCGAAAAATTAATCACGTCCGCCGCGTCGACCACTCGTACGTCGGTCGCCGCGCGCGCGCGCGTGGGCGCGTCGACGCGTCGTCGATTCGCGTCCCGCGGTCGCGTGCGGTGTATTCACGAGTCATAACTCGTGGATCTGTCCCACCAGACGCCGCCGCGACGGCCGCGCCGCATCGCGCGACGCGTCGCGCGATGGCGGACGCGCGCGCGACGGCGGACGCGCTCCGTCGACGCGGTGAGGCGTTTTTAGCCGCGTTCGACGACGTCGCGCGCGCGAA